GTGCAATGGTTACGTATTATTGTAATGTGCAATGGTTACGTATCATTGTAATGTGCAATGGTTACGTATCATTCTAATGTGCAATGGTTACGTATTATTGTAATGTGCAATGGTTATTATTCTAATGTGTAATGGTTACATATTATTGTAATGTGCAATGGTTATGTATTATTCTTGGTTAGGATGAGTTTCCTCAACCCTGTGAAGGTGGTCTTTAAGATACTATTGCTATAAATGTGATGTATATTCTAGTCTCAGCAAGTTTCATTCAACTATATATTACACGTAATACCACATATAGGGCTATGTGACTTTCTATCTTCCAAAACATTAAGTTTTGATCCACCTCTATTGCACAAAGTATCACTCTTCTCAGTCATGTGTCAACTTTTGTACCTGGGTCAGCTGTTGTTTCTGTGATCTCATCTCAACGTTACAAGATGTACAATACACTGTAAAGTGATAGCAAGCACCGTGGAACAGCTCAAAAGGGTTGAAAATGAATTGAAATAATGGTTTTCTAAGTTTGTAAAGGTTAACGTTAATGTACTTTACTTAGGACCCAGGTAGATTTAAATATATATATATATATATTTCTTTCAAATTTCAACGTTGACAACCTGATATTGTCAGAACCGAAAGAGTGTCGTTAGTTAGAAAACCATCTGTACATTTCGTTGCTGCAACATAACACTGGGGTTGCCCTTACTTGGAGTTACATTCAGCAAGAACCTAATTAGTTAACTGGCAATCACTTGATCTTAAAACGGCAACGCTAACGTTAGCTAACGTAGCACTTGTGGACCTTTTGATAACACGTAGCTGATATATAGACCTTCCACAGGAGACTGTAATAAATAAGTATCTGTCTTACACACACACCAACCACCACTGAGTCCCATATGTAAACACACTCACTGTGTCACTTAGGTTAAGTGGGTTAAGTCTGTTGCTAGCCAGCTAGCTAGCCGCGCTTGCCAATGCTGCTACATCAGATTTAGCTTAAAGTAGTTAGTAAAAGTGCTGAGGAAACGAAGGAAGAGAAGCGGAAGTGCCTTCAAAAATAAAGCTCGTTCAACACTTGACTCTGGACGCACTGCGGACAATCTGAATACACTTTAAAGTCTACATAATAATACAAGTTGTTCATATAAACATGTGGATACTACCGCTATAATTGTGCGATGTACAAAACAAATTCGTTGTCATACCTGCCTTGTATTATAAAACATGAAAACAAGCGCATCACTAAATGCTTTACTCTGAAGGCCGTGACCGGAAGTTCCATTTACGTGCATCACTTGACAAACATCTACGGCCTGTTTGCAGCTAGTTAGCTAGCTGCTAGCAACTTGCTGCACACATTGCTCCGTCTATGTTTTTGTTGTGTACAGTTGACACCGCACCCGCATAACATTACACGTGCAGCATTCAATAATGCACTCTAGTTCGCACCAAACGACATACATGGCACAAAACACAACTTTCATTTGCACATTTCGCCAAACTTGTCAGCGGGGGCTACTTCGGTTTTGGCGCTAGCGCCTCAAGCTTCCTCAGCCACTCTGCTCAATAGGCCGCAATGTTATTGACGGCTAGTGAAGCTAACTAGCTATCCCGCTACGAAGACAAACAAGAACATACGTCTCAATGGTGCACAACTGATATGTCAACTGTTAAAGCTGCATTGTTTCTTCTTACCTGCTGTGCGTCTTAAAGCCGTTTAGCTGTCATGATTGTTATGCAAGACTACAGTATAACGATGGTGTGCGGAATAGTCAAATACACCATCACATTTCACGAGGGCTTGGATTCTTTTTTTTTTGTTTTTTTTTACATTTGTCGCCATCTAGTGGTGAACATCGGTTGGTGAGGAAGAGTGCGCTCCTGATCGCTGCTGCTGATCATGTTCCCTATCGCTTTAGTTTGGCGACCTACTTCTATCGGCTAAAAAGGATCTTCAATAATAATGTCTTAATGCAATTGTTGGTCTTTTTTATCATAATTGTTTTTGCTTCTTTGAAATAGGCTACTCACTCAAAAACATAACATATGGAATAATATATGGAGTGGTAAGAAGTTAAGCAGTGATAATGAATTATATTAATAGCTTGTAGACTATAGTGGCTATGACATGTGGTCATCTGATAGAATATATGCCGACATTAAGCACGGATATTATTGGGTCAGAGGCTACATGAAAAATCCCTTTTATGCAGTCATGTCTGGCCTACATGTGATGGGGTGTATGTCTATTTCCGGATGGTTACAATAGTCTACTCATTCGGCATATTTTCTTGCCTGAATTAAACTACGAAAGCAAAGCTGATTTTAAAATTTTGCTGACTGATAGTGATCATGTAACTCACAAAAGTGCCATTGTAGGTTGGGCATATAGTCTATAAAGCAGATGTCCCTTCCAAAAAAACAACATCTAACAGCCTTTTCAAATATGACCGTGTCACATTCAATAGTTTATCTCCTGCATTATAGCTGATTTAATACTATGACTTTACATGTAATTTCCAGTCCATCTGTCCTTTATTTATGGGATTATCATGGGATTAGTTATTTTTGAAAGGTGGCGTTATAAGGCAACACTACATATGTAGCAACCTTATAAGGATTATTTTATGCAAATTAGCAGTTAATCAAGTGCAACCGGGTTCAATGCAATAACCATCTGGATTCATCTATTTATCCTTCGACTTTGACACAAAAAAGGGATGTTGAGGGTCGTGATAAAATGATAGCCTGTCATGCCAAGCCACACATAAAAACACACACACACGCACACACACACTTCACCGTGAGGAATACTAATCAACCTGTTCACCGTCAAGTGCAGTTGCTTGGCGCACAACTTCTCAATTCTGTGTCTAGAAATGTCTCTGCTGGATTTAATCCAACAAACCTCCACCTGCTGAATAGTATCGGGTTTTTTGCAACGTTCTTTGAACAGACCACGACAGTTATCACTCCGGTCTCCCCCTGTCTCTGTCTCTTCTGACGTGCGACATGCATCCGGAGTGAATGTATCTGGGGACAGACAGCCTACGCCTGCACCGCTTCTGGCAAGGGAAGCCCCCACGCGTTGCGCGCCTGGATCGCCGGTAGAAATTCGCGTCGCGGAGTGCGTGTGCATGTGCATGAGGCTCTAGATGTGTGTGTTCGCGCACGACAAAACCCCTGGCTCCGTCTTCAACAGTTGCTACCGGAGCGGCGGAGAGGAGAGGTGGAGAGCGAGAGAGATAGCAGACTGAGGACGGACGCGGAGCCCCACGCCGCTCTGCCCGGCTCTGCTCCTGACATGCAGTCGTTCATCTCTCCGGTGACCAAGGCCATCCTAGTAGCGCTCTTCATCTTCGCCATACTCCTCATCCTCTATGTGATCCTTTGGTACATCTGCAGGGACGTGGACTGCGACCACGGTATTTGAGGATTCCAAACGGGAATAACGGGAATTTCACAATGGGGCGCACAGTGGAGCCCGCAGAGCCCAGGGTCATCCCGTAAGTCTGCTGTCTTCCTTTTTGTCTTGTTTTTCTTGATGTGCCTGTTTAGGTTGTCTGTGAATGCATGCGCGCGTGTATGTGTACACGCTGTTCCTGTCGTGCGTAATGTTAAATGCGCTCTGGTTAGAAGGCAGGTGATGACCGAAGTGCGTCTCACTGGCACCCGGTATCCCAAACCATGAATGAGCAGAGCCCCAAATTTCTTTAACTTGACAGCGATCATCTATCAATGGCCCACCGGTTTATGTGTTACAGTCCCGCTGTCGTAACTGACAGTGAATTCTCAAATGTGATACAATGTCATCAAGAGGATATCGAACTGGTGTCGAACAGTAGACGGTGCGGGCGCGCGTGTGTGGGCTCTCAATTAATCAAGTAGGAAGATCGCCGGTGACATTGCGGTAAACAGCGTGTGTGTCCCTTAAGGTCAAGACCATACAGTGTTTACATCAGGTTGCCAATATTGTTTTGTTCTCCCCCCTCACTCTCTGCCGCCTTCGGTATATCTGCAGCATTAGTTCACGTTCAGATCATCTTAGTCTCTGAGGATGCTCCCACATTGGGATTTTACATCCAACGAGATAACGGGATTATCTATATCTATATTATCTATATTCCTGTGCGTCTTATTCCTAATCGGTTTTGTGCCATGCTTTTGGCTCCTTATCATGAATACGGCGCTAATGCTTTTACGCATGGTGCATTTAGATTCCCCATGACATCAGTGAGCTTGGTTAGAATGCTTTGTCCGATCTTAGTTTAGAAGATGCTCTGACATGTAGGCTACTCTCTCTCTCTCACACACACACACACACACACACACACACACACACACACACACACACACACACACACACACACAGCCACACACAGCATTGCTCGCTTAATGAAGGACTTCTCAATATTGCCAGCACGTTGGCCCCCAATGCCTACATGCTGTCACATGGTCCACAGAGATACATGTGAGATATGATAAGGTGCCATTTTTCATCAGGGTCTCAAAGCATTTCGTTTTCATCCCCAGCAACACAGAACCAGAGAAATTAACACATTTAGCACATTCTAAAGTGGATGATGTGAAGGACAAACCAAGGACATGTTGCTTTATAAATGTTTTTTGTGAAATTTAAGCAGGCGGATGCATAACAACACCCCGTTTTTGTATGTCTTCATTTGCACAAAAGAGTTTCTTTTTAGGTTCATGTGAATCTTTATAAATTACATTTATGTTACACATCTTGATGTAACATGAGGATGGCCTTTTTACATGGAAAAAGCGTGTCTAGATCCCTTATAAAATATTGCAGATTGTTAAATGATATTTGATGACTGCAGCTCACACTGTAGTTTAGCCACATTTGTATGGAGCACCACATCCCTATTTTCCCACCTCAAACACCCCAGAGGATTTAAAGAGCCGAGCATCTCCCCTCACGCACAGAGAAAGTGCAAATTTAGGCTTACATTTTTTTTTAAACCTTCTTATTTTGAGCTACGGGCACCATAATATTAAAAAATCCATAAGTAGCCTGGATGCAGCGATAAGGATGGAACCCCCGCTGCCTCCTAAACTGTTGTGTGTTTCTCCCACGGAGAAGAGGAGAGAGTCTGGTGGGATGGCAGATGCCCTCTTTGACCGGACTCCAAAATGATTGCTGTCAGCATGAGTACGCAAGCAGCCTGTATCGCCCCTCAAAACACCCCCGCCACACAGACACACACGCATATAGACTGTAAATGACAGTCCCGACTCTACCAGCCCCCAGTAATGACATAGAGCGTGAGAGAAAGACAGCAAAAAGGTATATGATAACTGTCTCAACTGTGTCTCTGTCTGTTTAAACCGGTGCCATGGATTGTCTGTGTGTGTATGCAAGTGTGTGTGTTAAGATGGAAAGAAGGGAAAAAGCTGTGTTTGAGCGACTGTGTATGTTTGGGCAGTTTGTTGAAGAAGGAAGGCGGTGCGTGTGTGTGAGTGTGTGTGTGTGTGTGTGTGTGTGTGTGTGCGTGTGTGTGTGTGCCAGCGTGGGAGGGGGTTAAACACTGACATGCTCCAGAATGACAGATGAAAAAAAAAAGTGGAGCAGGGAAGGCTCAGAGGGACTCAACAGGGGAGAAAGGTGTGTGTGTGCGTGCCTCTGCATGCATACATGAGCATGAGTAAAATTCACTCAAGTTTATTGAAAATATTTTCGTTCATTAAATACATATACGCTGTAGTATTGCATTGTACTAGCCGTGTATTGGCAGAAGTAATGGTTTATGTATAGTGAGTAGCCTAAAAAGTAAAACATTAATAATCCTGCTCACATTAACGACCCAACTTTTACTGCTTTAAGAACTTGTATTCTTTTTTACAAATACAATAAATATGTACCATAAAAACATGATGCTATGTGGGAGGCAGGCAGGCACCGTTCTTTCAGAATGCTTGAACGTTAACCTTCATAGATCCAAATTCAATTGCGATTGAAGTCATGAAATATGTAGGGACAAAGGTAAATTATTGAAGCCTGAGGCTGTGGGGAGGGGATTTGTTATCATATTCTCTCCTTACAATGTTCATAAACTGCATATGACAAAGTGTGTGTGTATGAATGTGTGTGTGTGTGTGTGTTTCCATCAGCGTTTCATTATCACAAATCGTTTATGATGGTCTGATAAACTAGACCCTCATGCTGATACATTCTACAGTCCCATACAATACCGCCTTCATAAACGTCTGTCGCTGAGGACGTGAAGAATGCTGGAAACAGTCTGTTTAAGAATTAGATATGATCAAAGAAGTTTCACATCTTCAAACTATAAATGTGACTATAACGGTCAGGATTTTCACTCGGGTTGCTGAGAGGTGTTTATGGTCTGAGCAGAAGCTACAATGCAATAATGCTTTTCTTTGGCATTCACTCTGAATAACTCATAGCTTTGTAATATTTCTATTTTCAATATATGACCTTCAAGTATTAAACAGCTGCAAACTTAATTTAGACTACAAATGTTCATTATTGGTCCACAACAAGAACAAATATCTAGCTATTCAATACGTATAGATATTAAATTAATGAAAAGATCATAAAAATCTGAAAATGTAACCTTAAAGTGGCAACGCTTTATGTTTCCCACATTAAACACTTTTCTTGGTTGGAGGTCGGAGGTCAGGGTCATCTACAGAATAGTGCTGGAGCTGGAGGGTCAGGGTTTTGCTCAAGGACACTTCAGTAGGAGTGGACACTTCATGGCAAAGGGACTTGAACATGGCTCGCTGAGGTCTCTTAGCTGAATGTGCTATTCAAACAGTGTTGAATAATAGTT